GCGCTACCACTTGAGCCACATGCCCAGCCCCCTCAGTGTGGTTTTGATTTGCATTTCTGTGTTTGCTAGGGGTGTTGAACATTTTTTTTGTGTGTGTGTATATTTGTTGGCCATTTGTGTTTCTTCTTTTGAGAAATTTGACAGAGGTTTCTAACCTTCCCTGACCAAAGGCTATCCTGCTGAATTTACTCAACCTTTGTTCCACTCCATTTGGAAAACACTAACTTTCTCTTTGAAATAGCAGGGAACCCCACGAACCTGTCTTAATATATCCAGGTCTTCTCAAAAGAGAAATTCTCCATTACTGTAAAGGTCTTACAAAACTTCTTGCAAAAAAATTGCAAGTTAACTAAGGATTGTTTTAACAGAAAGTTCCTGGGAGACAAAGATATTATGAAAGATCACAATTTTCAACCTGGAGATGTTTTCTACTAGAAGTGAAATCAAAAGACTATCCAACTTTTTAAGAAGGGACACAATCAGGTATGGTTATACAGTTCCTGTGTAGCAAAATTAAAGGGCATGGACTGGATTTATCTTTCTCATATCAAAAATGGACCTCCTCTGGAATGGACCTCCATACCCACCAGAGACAATGAAAATTAACTCGCAGCAGAGTTCTTTTAAAATTAAAATAGTGTACAATTTAAAATTGTTTAATTGAACATATTAATAGTAATGTGAGGTTTCTACACAGGTATATATTGTGTAGTATTTAAATCAGATTAAGCATATTTGTCTGTCACAGGTGAGTGGGGTGCTGAAGCTCCAAATTTTAGTTCTTGCCGGGTTTCTGTTCTCGCGACTAAAAGACTCAGGGGTCACTCTAGTTAAACTGGGCTAACTGGGCTGCACGAAATAACCACACAAGAGACACAAATACCTTTTTCTTTGGGGTCGCTGTGACGGCTCCTCTGACCTTAAGGGTCTGCAGAAAGAGAGAGAGATTGAGCACGTGCTGACCCTTTTTATGGAGGAGAAGCTATTCAAATGAGGCAAGGGGTCAGGTTTCAGGGGGCTGAGTCTATCTTCATGATGTCCACTGTCAGCAGGTTGACTGACACCTGGGTAGGCCACACCCAAGGGCACAGTAAGAGGAGGGGACACACACAAGGCACTTCCATGGAAGATTCTATCCTAAACAGGGCAAGGGTTTATATTACAAAGGAACAGGTGAGCATAGCTTTACCCATGGGTCTGCAGCAAGACACACCCATTTCTGTGACTGAGCACCTCAGCACCCAGCTGGGGAGTGTAACTCAGTCACCCATAAGGTTGGCCTCCCACAAGTTCTTGATCGGATGAAAGAAAATCTAGAGTCAGACACTGAAAACCAAGCATGAGAATTTTATTTTAAATGAAAGTAAAGCTCAGCAAAGATTACTCTCAAGAGAGGAAAAGAGTGGGTTGCCTCTGAGCAGAGAACCCAAAGCAAACTAAATACTACTTCCAAATGTATTACTTATTTGTTTGCCCTGAGAACTGAGGTCTGTCTTCTGCAGCTTTCTGCAGCAGTCACCAATCAGATGTCTAACTCCTCCTTCACATCAAGCAGTGGAATTTTTTACTCTAGTTGATCCTTTCTGGAACTATCATCGCAACCATCCCATTCAGGGGGGCTTCATCTATAAGCAATTAAATGTTAATGTGGGTTCTGGGGTGAATAACTGGGCAAATTTCATCTTAGTACATCTGTGCTACTGAAGAAATTTCCCCCTGATACACACTGATTAACCTATGGCCATAAATCCTAACTGTACAATGAATGATCCCAGTTAACCCTGTTAGGAGTTATCCCCATCACTTTTCTTTCTTGACATATTTCTTAATTGACTCCCCTCTTTTCCACCTGCCCCTGGCTCCAGGTTAGTACTTCTGTTGTTTTTCTACAAGTTGTTTAATTATTCATTAGTCTTCAAAACAATTTAAAGAAAACCGTGATCTTATGTTGTAGGTTTGCTTCTAATGCTGATTACTAATTACTACCTAACACCTTCAAACAGTTATCATTTCTTCCTGGTAGATTATGACTAGCTCTACGTGAGGTGAAACTTCAATCATCTGGTATAGTCTGACCTAACTTGCATGTTTCTACAGACTCCACCGATACTTTTTTCCTTCTTACCATAATTCTTAAAAGGAATGTATAACATAAGTGAAAACCAGCAATTGATGTCCTGTGTTATTTTTGTCAACCAGTGCAATATCTGAACAACCTGTTTGGTGTAACCTTTTTGTTGTCTATAAAAACCCAGGCTTCACTGGGTGTGGTGCCTGCCTGTTGTCACACTCCTTGGGAGGCTGAGGACAGATAGTTTGAGCTCAGGAGTTAGAAGCTAGCCTGGGCAACACTGTGACACCTCTCAAACACAAAAACAAGCAGCAAAATATCAGACCTCTCTTATGCCATTTTGGGAATATTTACTCTACATAAACTAGAATTCACCGCCACATGTGGTCATCTTAATTTTGGTCTCTAATAAAACTCTCCGTTCTTACTTTCAGTGTGCCTCAACTTAACCTTCAGGTTGAAATACTATCATCAAATGTCTTGCCTTTTGAATGTCTTTTTTCTAAATGCCTCCCCACCCCCACCCCTGGGGATTGAACCAGGGACACTGAGCTTCATCTGCAATACCCCCCGCCCCGACTTTTTAAGTAATATCTTTTAAATAGATTGTGTCTTCTTACTGCCCATACTGGCTTTGGAACTTGCAATCCTCCTGCCTCAGCCTCCCGAGTAGCTGGGATTACAGGCATGCGCCCACCCACCTGGCTCTGGGCACCTTTCGAAGTAACGTGATAATATGCCTAGAAATGACTCCTAATGAAGAAAAAAAAAAGGAGGCCCGAGATCCCCATTCTTCTACAATTCCCTGAACTACATTTTCTAAAAAAAAATTTGCACCAGTGACGGCAACAAGATGAAACTATTTTTCCCTAAAATTTGTTATACTGTTACTAGTGTACAATTTAGAGACCAACGCGGAGCCAGCAACTACACCGTTGCTTTGTACTAACACCGAAAAGAGGTATCCAAAAGGAAGAGCAGCTGCAAAACTCCACCTTCTGTCCTTTGTAGACGCAGAAACTCAAAAATAATCCCAACGAGGTCGCCAACACCGCGCCTTACCCGCTCCAATTTATCACCGCAATTGGCGTGGGCATCGCGTCAGGTCGCGACACCGCCTCCAGGAACAACACACCACAGTCTGCGCCAAGGCCGGAAGTGACGCAAACCCGCGACGCCAGCGCTCGCCGTCCGCTGCTGCTGGAGTCAGATTCGGTAGCTCCGGAGACGGCGGGCTTTCCCGGATGGTTGCAGCGAAGGGATCATGACGGGGAAGAAATCTTCCCGGGAGAAGCGGCGCAAACGAAGCGGCCAGGATGCGTCCGCGGCACTCGCAGCCCCGGACCTCGTACCGGTCCTTGCCAGCAGCGGCAGTGGAAGCACCAGCGGCTGCGGGAGCACCAGCGGTTGCGGGAGCGTCAGCTGCTGCGGCAACGCCAGCTTCAGTGGAAGTGTCACCGGCGCCGGGAGCGGAGGCAGCTGCTGGGGCACGAGCGGCGCGGATCGTGGCGAGCGCCGGAAACGGAGAAGCACCGACTCTTCTTCCAGTGTCTCCGGCTCTCTGCAGCAGGTGCGTGCGCTCCCCTCTCGCCGCTTCCCGCAGCTGCCGCTGCTTCGGAAGAGGGAGGACTACTAGACCCGGTGGGGCAGAAAGCCCCAGGGTCCACTGGTTCCCGAAGTTCATGGTCCGGAGCCTTGATGAACCCACTCCAATGGCTTGAACTTCCAAGTTTCCGGGTTTAGTGAAACAGTTAACTTTGTTATTTTTTGAACTTTAGGTCCTTTCCACTCGTGGTCTCCTTTATTCCCTATAAGTATGTATGGGTCAGGAGCTTGGTGGCCTTCAATGCCCTTGTGAGCCAGACGATTTATTTCTCTATCTTCACCTTTTGGGTTAAGATTAACTACACATGAGAAAAATTGAGGCCCAGAGAGGTTAAGGAGTAGGAGTTGTTAGTAGCTCCTAGATTTGAATCCATTGTCTGGCTCCACAAAAGCCATGTTTTTATGCACCATATTTTATGCAGGTTTACTAACACACCTCCATTTTAAAATTAATTTATAATTTATTAAAGAACAAATGAATACATACTGAATGAAAAACTATGCAAGGCTGTCTTTGTGCCTCCACTATAATAGTTGATAGGCAGCCTGTATGAGCTGAAGGAAGAACAGGTTATATTTGAGTAATTCAAAGGCCATTTATCTGAACGGGCCAAATAAATAGTCTGTATGATCCCAAGGGCAATGTGAAGTCATTGATTTTGTTTTGTTTTGTTTTGGAATTGGGTATTAAACCCCAGGGGTCTTTTATCACTGAGCTACAACCCCAGTACTTTTTATTTTATTTATTTAGTTTTGTTTACATGGTGCTGGGGATTGAACCCAGTGCCTCTCCAATGCTAGGCAAGAGCTTTACCACTGAGCCCCAGCCCCAGTCCTTACTTTTTATTTTGAGATAGGGTCTTGATTATTTGCTGGGACCAGCTACCAATTTACAGTCCTCCTACCTCAGCCTCCTAAGTAGCTGGGATTACAGCCTGCTTCACCTGTAACTCTTGAGACTCTGGAGGCTGACACTGGAAGATGGCAAGTTCAAAGCCAGCCTAAACAACTTAAGGAGATTCTGTCTCAAATTTTTAAAATTATTTTTGAAAAAGGGCTGAGATTGTAGTCAGTGGTAGAGCACCCCTGGGTTCAATCCTCAGTGGTGTCCCTTCAATAGAAAAGAAAAAAGAAAATGAGTGTTTTAAATTACTGAAATTACTTGGTTGCTTGGAATATGATTAAATTATGTAACACTTTTAGAAATAGTGGCTTATGGTAAATTTATTGCTTATGATATTTATGATTTCTAACATTGTATTGCTATTTTATTTATGTGAATTTAAGGAGAATGACAATGCATACATGAAACTTTTGAGTAATAGCTACTTGAAGGAATATCCTGATTCACCAAAAGTCTAAAACTATACTAAATGTTGACTGTATTTTCATTTGTTTGTCCTGCTATATTTTTCCTTAAAAGCTATTTCTTGAATTAATTGTGCAATAATACTGAATATTTAAATATTCTTTCCTGTTTTAGATAAATATGCAAAGAGGAATTTGGAAATGTTTAATAAACAGTTTGTTAAAGTGTTATGACGTTATGTACATGTTCTATGTATTTTAAGTAGTATTATTGAGAGTTTTATATTCTTTTAATTTTAGGAAACCAAGTATCTTTTGCCAACTTTGGAAAAAGAATTATTCTTGGCAGAGCACAGTGACCTTGAAGAAGGTGGACTGGATCTGACTGTGTCATTAAAACCAGTTAGTTTCTATATATCAGACAAAAAAGAAATGCTCCAGCAATGTTTTTGCATTATAGGAGAGAAGAAGTTACAGAAGATGCTTCCTGATGTGTTAAAGGTACCTTATTTCATTATCAGACTGTAGTCATACATAGATAAACTTTGTAGCAATCATGTTACTGAATACAATTTATAATTGGGTGATACCATTTAAAACAAGCTACTAGAAGAGGTATAAGAAAAGGAATTTGGAGAGCCATTGATGGCCTTGTATATTTAAAAATGTGCTGAGAAAAAATATTTTAGAAAAATTTTGACACTATGGAAATAATTCAGTTAAATGCAGGCAGTGGTAGTAACTACATAAGAAGTAAACAAATCTTTGTGGTACTTCAAGAAATACTGTTGTATAACAGTATACAATGATTTTTGTAATAACTTACATTTCATTAAATTTTCAAGAGTTTCCATATATTTATTTTTTAATATTTTTTAGGAAATATGTTATTTTGATTTTGCAGTTATAAAAGAGGACTTGAACAAGTTAATCCCAAGATCATGTATCTAAAGTATATAAAGAATTGAATATTTAAACCTTTAGAACAATTAGACGTAACATAAATAGGCTATGATTAAGAATATCTAGAAACTGAATCACACTTTAGTTTCTTTAGCAAACATGATTTTATTACCATCAGGTGTCTCAAATGTATGAAATAACTGGCAGTTTTTCAGATTTTCTCCTACAAAAAGATATATGTGAATCTACTTGGGGCTTTAATAATTTGTTTTATTTTAATATTTCGTTGAACAAAAATTTTCTCACGATAGCAGTTTTTCTGTTGATATTGGACCTATAGTATGTAAATGCAATTTTTTAAAATGTCATTTTCTTTAGAACTGTTCAATAGAAGAAATTAAAAAACTATGCCAAGAACAATTAGAACTCCTGTCTGAAAAAAAAATCTTGAAGATTCTTGAGGGTAAGAATGCATATTTCTACATTCTGGTAACTTTTTATACTATTTTCAGCATAAGTCTTGGGTATTTTTTCTCATAAATGTAACCGTAAATTCATTTTTGGGGAATCACTGAAAAATATCTTCTGTTTGTACTGAGAAATATAATTTACAGGGATGTGGCTCAGTGGAAGAGCACTTGTCTAGCGTGTGTGAGGCACTGGGTCTGATTCTCGGCATCACATAAAAATATATAAAAAAAAGGTATTGTGTCCATCTACAACTAAAATTTAAAAAAATAATAAATATAATTTATATATCAGAATAGAATTTCAAGAATAAAGTTGATATTTTTTTCTAAATCTCACATAGATAAGAGCATAAATTTGTACACTGTAATAGATAAAATTTAAAATGTCTACAAAAATACCATTAAAAATTACTGAGAAGATAAAGATTTTCCTTAAAATAATTTTTAATTCCACTTTATATTCTTTATAACTTTTCGTGACATATTGCATGTTATTTCTGCTCTGATAAGACCCAGATGCAGAATTAGAAGAATTTATTGTGATTTGCCAATACTTGTATATCCCCTTGAAGTATGACTATTCTTTGTGATGCTGATTCTTCTAGAATTTTGGATTTTCAGGCTTTTTTTTTCTTTTGGAACATCAAAGATTTTAATATTGGCATCACAGAAAAATAAATAAAAATTAGATATGCAATTTTAGACAGAACAACTTTTTAAATGTAAAACGTTTCTATGTGTGGTGGCACACTCCTGTAATCCCAACAACTCAAGAAGCTGAGGCAGGAGCATTACAAGTTGGAGGCTAGATTAGACAACCTAGCAAATGAGACCTTGTCCCAAAATAAAATTTTAAAAAGGGCTGGGGAGGGCTGGGGTTGTAGCTCAGTGGTAGAGTGCTTGCCTTGCACGTCTGAGGCACTGGGTTCGATCCTCAGCACCACATTAAAAAAAAATAAATAAAGGCATTGTGTCATGTACAACTAAAAAAACTTTTTTTAAATGAAAAGGGCTGGGGATGTAGCTCAGTGGTAGAGTGCTTGCTTAGTGTGCATGAGGCCCTATGTTCAATCCATTGTACTGCCAAAAAAAAAAAAAGAGAGAGGTTTAATGGATTTATAGCTCTGGAAATAGATGTATAGGTAAGTATGTAGTCTTTAAATAAATAAAAATATGTTATTGTGTGTATGTGGTGAAGGGAAGGAAATGAGAAAAAAAGCATCCAGATTCATTTTAAATACAAATAATTGAAAATGTAAACTTGTAACAACTATAAAGTTTTAAAACATGCATCACTTTTAAAGGTGACACTTTTGTGTAAATGATTCTGACATTTTAAACATGTTTTCAATAGTGTATTTCATTTACAAGGTGACAATGGTATGGACTCTGATATGGAAGAAGAGGCAGATGATGGCTCTAAGATGGGATCTGATTTAGTCAGTCAGTAAGTTAAAAAACTTTCATTTTCATTTCAGAATTTATTCTTTTGGCAGTTCCTAACATCAAGGATATGAATAATTTTCTGTGTTTTATTTATATAAAATAATTCAATAATGCAATTTGTTTACTTGTAATAATTGAGTATTTTAGTATATATGAAGATTTACCTAACTGCTTTTTAGGATTTTAGTAATTTTTCATTAACTATTATACATAGATATAGAACAACAGTGATGCTAATCTGAAGCAGAATCACATCTCTTGTTTGGATTTTGAGTATACTATTCACGTTACCCACGATTTATTAAATACCTACCCTACCAAACACTGTAATGTCTATTAATTTTGGGTGACAATAGTCTGATTTCAGAGATGAGCTTGTAAGGTTTATTTTACATACGTTTACATAATCTTTTACATATAGGTTTGTGTGTATACATACATATTCATATTTACATATATACATGCATATATTTACTTATAAGTATGTGTAATTTGATTATTATGATGACAAAAGTGCCAGAAGTCTTGGGAAGCTTACTAATCAAGAAGCAATATGCTGATTTTTTAAAATTATTCTGCTTTATTACAGCATATCAAACTTTCATTCACTAACTTTAACATCTGTTGATGATTACTTCCTAAAAATCAATTATTGTCTGGTAATTGCCAAAGACCAACATGTATCTCTCTTTTGCAAAGCCTGACATTTTCCCAGAAGAGTAAGAAAAGCTTTGCTGTACAGGCAATATCACAAATACAAGATTACCAGAAGCAGTGATATAAATAAGTAGTACATACTTAAGCTGAAATCTAGAATTTTTTGATTTTTAATAAAAGACTGTCTGGTAAGCATCACCAAAAAGAACAATTTCATGTTAAAACTTAGCATCAAATTATTTACTTTTCCTAAAGGATTAAAAAGGTGTTATTTTATTGTTTGATTGCCTCATAATTAATTGATGGCTTTTGATCATCACATGCATCTTACTTAGGATGTTCCAGGGTGATTTATACTTAAATAGAAAATGTGCACATTTTTAATAGGTCTTATTATTGGTTTTCTGTAATCCCATTTACTTGACTGAATCAAGAGGTTCGCAAGTTTGAGATCAGCCTCTGTGGAGACTGATCTCCACAAAGGCTGATCATAAGGTCTCCTCTAATGGAGACCCTGTCTCAAAAAACAAAAAAAAAAAAAATTGTGCCGGGATGTGGTTCATTGGTTAAGCACTCCTGAGTTCAATCCTCAGTACCAAAGAAATTAATGAAATACTTAGCTGGGAATACTTTATATAATATACTAAGCTTCATCAGTTAGTAGCATTTTACAAGGCCTGTTACTTTTTAGTACTTTTGAGTTTCTTTTTTCTCTTTTATGGAGATGGGGATAGAACCCAGGGCCTCATGCATGCTAGGCAAATGCTCTACCACAAGCTACATCCCCAGCCCTAAGTTTCTTAAATCATCTTCATCATTTTGTTTCTTGATGTTACTTATAGAATTCTAAATTGAATTTTTATTTGGCTGCATTAGTTTTTCCCTTCATTCAAATCTATTTTTTCCAGTTTTGAGATATTAATATTTAATACCTTTTTTCCCCATATTTGAGCACTCATGCCACCTTTTCTACTGTTGAAAGCCATTGAATGGATGCCTAGTTAGAATAGAATCTAATTCTCTTAAACATTACAACAAAGTACGGTACAGTGCATGCCGTTTGAATTATTGTAATAAAAATCATGTCTGTCTGTCTGTCT